AACAACAACAACAACAAACACAACCAACAAACAACAAACAACAAACAACAAACAACAAACAACAAACAACAACAACAACAACAACAACAACAACAACAACAACAACAACAACAACAAAAACAACAAAAACAACAACAACAACAACAACAACAACAACAACAACAACAACCACAACGACAACAACAACAACGACGACGACAACGGCAGCAGCAACAGCAACAGCAACAGCAACACAACACTACATCCACAACAGCACACGTGGTGATTGTGGACACCTTTGGCTGCACTACCAGCCATGGGCAAAACACAATCAATGGTGATGAACCTGTAAACAAACTGAACTGTTTCACACTGTTTCCCCCTCTCTCGCATCTCTACACAAGTACAAACATGTCTAACTACATCGATATTTATGTGTAAATATACGTACATATATACGTATATACATATATATATATATATATACACATACATATGTTTGTGCTTTCTTATAGATTTGCAATGTGCACATGTCTGTATATGTATTCGTACATGTATATGATTGCATATGTGTATGTATAGCTGTAGGGGTGTGTGTGTGTGTAGACAAGTAAGCTCTTGTATAAGATGACTACCAAGGCAACGAAACAAACCAGTGGATGTGAGATTGCTGACGATTTAGACGGCGGTGGTGACGATGACGACCATGATGATCACCAGGATACCGCTGACGAGGACTAGGGCCAACTATAGATACACACAACATCACGATGGGGTCATCGCAGCGGCATCGTCATCGTCCGCCTACTCTTCCTACATCATCAGCATCATCAACGTTATCATGATCATCGTAATCATGCTCGTCATCGTCGCTCGCTTCACGGAATCCCACAGCTGCACATTACCGGCCTTTCGGGCATCGATGAGGAGCAGTTTCGGGCATCGCAGTGCCCGCAGCAGCGTTGGAGAGAAGCCGCTGTCGGCCGTCCAGCCGATTGAGTGGCTACCTTATCTCAGTTGCAAAATCCACAAAAAGCTCCTCAAAACCGGTGACTCTGAAAGCCAGTTCCAGGACTCCAGCCGATGTCAAGTCGGGCACCGAAGCACAGCTCGCTGTGCTGTGCCCGGTGGCTAGTGAGACGCAGGGGCCCCGCCTGCAAGCAAAGACGTCTCAAGAATCGATGTGAACATCGCTGAGTGGCTGCCTCGCTTTGGACGGTGACCAGCTCCCCTTCCGGTGCTGGAACCCATGCAGCGAAATCGCTCATGTCACGTCCCATGCTGCGCATCTCGTGCATCCGATAGACTTGCAACCTGCCAGTGTCTCTGCAGGCAGTCCCAGGCCATGCAACATGGGACAATGCGAAAAGCCCGGGGCCCCTACCTGGCCAGCACTTCTGTCTCGGCGATGACGCACATTGGCCGCTGTTTTTGCAGGCCTCTCTGACTTTTCTTGGTGACAAGACTGAAAAACCCCAAACCTTCAACCAAAGCTGGCTGCCGCGGCCTTCGACAGCCAGCACTACCGGCAGCTCGCCCGCATGGTCACTGTGGTTGTGGCTGATGAAAATCGTCGATGGTATCTCTCCTGGATGGCATCTCTCCACTAGCGTGAAAAGCAGGCCGTAACTATGCACCCTAAACCCTATAAGCCCCTCAACCGCCTAAACCCTAAACCCTAATCCCTAAACGTAAACCTTCCCCTGCCCTCCAGAGTCCTAGGTATCGCAGCGCAGACTTGCAAACGCCAAGGCCCAGGTCAGCCAGAAAGAATGGTCTCCTTCTCACGGGACTAAAGGAGCCACCCTTAAAGGGACCCTTGGGGTTATATAGGGGGTTTACGAGACTATCTAAGGGGTAAGGGTTATATAGGGTATTTGGATTAGGGTCCTTTCTATGGGTCTCTCCTATTGTCCCCAGTGCCACATCCGAAGATTAGGGAACACGATGGGTTTAGGGCCGTTTAGGGTTTAGGGCTCCACTGCGTTGACTGCGCTCTTGTTAAGGAGCTTGGGTTAGAAGCTATAGACACGTTCTAGACTGCATATTTAAATCAAACTACCGCAATAGAGATATACAGTGAGTAATAACATGGTTCCCTTACTATTGTGGTAGACCCAGCGGAATCTTCTAGAGCACTAGAAGGCGAGGCGCTACCGGAAGGTATGACGAAGTATCACAAACTGCCATCGCGCAGCCTCGCAGCCTCTCGTTTATTCTGGTTAATTGGCGCTCTCTCCGTCTCTCTGTCTCTCTCTCTCTCTCTCTCTATCTTTCTCTTTAACTTTCGCCACGACTGAGGCAAGGGTGAAGCTCGCTCTCTCTCACTCTCTCTCTCTCTCACTCTCTCTCTCTCTCTCTCTCTCTCTTCTTTCGGCAGAGCTGTGGTGTAGAGGAGGACCCCTACACCGCGCACTAGTGCGCGCCCGACGATTGCGGGTGCCAATAGGTTGCAGGCGCTCCACACAAAGGCAATGGTCTGCCTAAAAAGGACCTAAGCTGGCAACCAGGCAGGCACCGGGCCTAACCAAAGGATCAAAGATCAAGACGAAATGAAGTCAAACACGACGTGCTCATCGGTACTGGCCTCCCTCTCTCTCTCACTCTCTCTGTTTCTGTATACAGTATGTTGTATACAGTATGTGTATATATATATATACATGTTATACATTATGCACGCCTTTGGACCTACGTACCCACCTACCTACTTCCGCGTTAGGTCGCTGTCTGCTGAAGCTGGCAAGCCCGGCCGGGCCCCGGTCGCGGTCCTGTCGAAGGCCAAAGCCCAAGAGCTGCTGCATTCGCCGTCGTAAACAGCCGTGCTGCCCGCCCCGGTGCCCAGGACGTGGAGAGTGAGGGCCATCGGAAAGCAGAGGTTTATTGGGCGGAATCGAGGCTCAGGGGGGGGTTTGAGTCTGGGGATGCATGGAGCTTAGGAAGTCGGGCTGTTGGACGTTGGGGGGGGTCCCCTGAATCGTTGTCGTAGCCTTCTGAAGATCTCATCGCGTGGTGCTGCAGCAAAAGCGATAGGAATGGTAATATTGCCAAGTCTGATGCCATGATGGCACCATGCAGCCACTAAGCCAGTCCAGCATGGCACAACAAATCGTGAGGATCATTCAGAACCTGTCTGGCAGGCTCCCTTCGTTTCTACCGGTACGGCTGAAACCCTAAACCCTAAACCCTAAACCCTAAGCAACAAAGGGGCAGGGACACGGCTCCTACTGCACTTCAACCACCCGGTGGCCCTTTGAGGCAACCGCCGTGTCGACGGATGCCTGTGCTGTGGCTCGGTCGCGCCTGGCGGCTTCGGGTTTCAAGGTTCAGGGTTCAGGGTTTAGGGTTTAGGGTTTAGGGTTTAGGGTTTAGAGATTGGGGCGACGGACGTGATGAGTGTGACTAAGCAAATCTTCCAATACACCTTTTTAAACGTATACTCCTTGAATCAGATTAGGGATCCTATGATGCTTTAAAGTATATTCCTGACTTAAAGGATCTTGGAAGAGTTGGGTATGTTTATCTGAACCCTCATAGAGCCCCTATAGGCCCTATAGTTATAGACCCCTTGGCGGCACCCTAAACGAACCCTGACCCTATGCCAGCGTTTTCCCTTATAGATCCCCCAAAGGAACCCTAAACCCTCACGGAGCCCTGAGAGATCCCTTAAAAGGAACCCGAATTCCTAAACCCTCACAGAGCCGTGATAGATCCCTGAAACTTTCAAAAAGGATGCGCCCTAAACCCCTCAATCTAGACCCTAAACCCTATACCCTAAACCCTAAAACCCTAAACCCTAAACCCTAAACCCTAAACCCTAAACCCCAAACCCCTAAACCCTCAACCCTAAAATCCTAAACCCTAAACCCTAAGGGGCCGCTCAGGCGATGGCACAACCTCCGCTTGAAGCTCGGCCAAGGAAGTCGCCAAGGACTTGTAATCGGACACCGTGCCTGGGGTACGGAGGGACGGCATGCAGGGGGTATAGTTATATGTATATACAGGTAGAGAGACAGACAGACAGATAGATCTCTCTCTCTATATATATATATACTTATGTATAGAGAGAGGGTGAAAGAGTACATAGACTTGTCTACATATAGTATACACAGTAAATGCATACACATATTTCACAAAACGTGCAGTGTCTGTATACGTATAAATATAAATAGATATCTATATATATATATATATGCATGTGTGTGTGTGTGTGTGTGTCTGCGTCTAGATGTGCCTAGGTTTAGAGGAACATTATCGGAACATTCAGCGTAGGTGACAGAGTGAGTCCCTTGGCGCCGTGCAGCGCAGTGCAATCGCAGAGTCAGAGATCACCAGCCGCTCCTGACAGGACTGCTAGCCTCTTGGCTGGCTTATTGGATCTTGCTGTCCCCAAAATCCTGCGATGAAAGAGCCTGCAACCGTTACCGCAATCCCTAGATATCTGTAAATCCTAGAAATCTTAACTCTAAACCCCAAACCCCAAAACCCCAAACCCGAACCCCGAACCCCAAACCCCAAACCCTAAAACCCGAAACCCTGAACTGCACGAGCTCCTCGTGGGCTAGGAGCGATGTACTGTGCTGCTCAGCAATGGAGTCAAGGGAGTTCAGGCGCTCCTTTGGACAACAGAGTTTGGGTTTAGGGTTTTATGGGTTAAGGGTTGGGGGTTTAGGGTTTAGGTTTTGGGGTTTTAGGGTTTCGGTTTTAGGGTTGAGGGTTTAGCGTTTGGGGGCGAGATGGGGTTTGGGGGGAGCCGACACCCTAAGCCCTAATATAGGGATATAGGGGCCTTAATAATCAGAATGGGGCTTTGGGGCCCATTATAGTATAGTAATAATAGGGAACCTCCAAAACAATATAGGTAATTATTTAGGCCCCTGTCTTCCGGGGGGGGGTGAGGGAGGGGAGACTCGCATCAAGAGCGAAGACACAGAATCAGATCACGCATGATGACACTCCTAAGTATTGGCAAGAAACCTGTAGTACAAGCAATGCAGATGATGCCGCGCCCTTTTCGCGGCCTGCAGGTTTCGAAACCTTCCATTTCTTGCCTTGGGCGCGAACCTTTGATGCCATGACATCTTTTCCCAGAGAGCTGATCCACCTTGCAGCTCCAAGTAGAAACGAAGGGCCATGAAGAATTCGTCGCGCAACGCTATGCGAGCTGTCTTAGCCGGTGGCGTTTTCGAAAGATTTTGGAAGGCCTCGAGCTTGCTGTCCAAGCTTGCCTGCAGCGACATGCTACCCTGAAGGCTCCGTTTCCGGCTCTTTTATGTATAATCCGTAATGTGTGTGTATATATATATGTGTATATAAGAGAAAGAGAGAGAGAGAGAGAGAGAGACAGAGAGAGAGAGAGAGTGACGGAGACAGAGACACCGAGAAAGAGACAGAGAGAGTATACGCAAGTGTGTATAACAGTATACACATGTCATGGAATACAAATAGACAGTATATAATTGCTGGATAGATAATCGACAGAGGGGGCAGCCTGTATACACATATATATATATACACAGACATATATATATATATACATATACACGTATACATACATATGTACATGTATATATATATATATATATGTATCATGTGTATGTATATATATATATAATAGATACACCCGTATGTACATACTTGTATATGTTTTCTGTATCTGTTTTCTTGTTTAGAGCTTAAGTAGCTAGCAAGGTACAGGTTGTCTCTCGCCTCAGGGCAGCTCCTGCTTTTTGTTCACTCTGAGCCTCGCACACGCATTTGTGACTCCTCGTTGATGTTGCGTGTCAGCAGCCGACGCACGGTCTCTGTTTCCTCCTGGGGTTTAGGGTTTAGGGCACATAGTAATGCTGTTCGAGATGATGGCAGTGGGTGCCTTTGACACGGACAGGCATCTGAGTGTTCGGTGCTCCTTGCGAACCGTCTGCTCCCGCTCAAGATCGGAACGGAGCTGCTTCAATTCATCCTTCATGCCCGCAATGCCTTGCGAGTCGGACAGCTGGCGCGTAAACATGAACTGAAACAATGCCGTTTGCTGGCGTTACACAAGTACCAGCAAAAGACTTCGCGGAATCAGATTCCTCTGCTTGTTGAAGGCATTGGCAAACAGATCCGGCACCGGTGTGTCATGGTCACTGAGACCACCACAAGACTGAATGCCCGTCAGCTCATGCCTTAGCTCTTCACGCCGACAAAGTTGTGCCGATGAATTGACACCGCAGGCCGCTGAAAAACAGAGAGAAAACAAAGGGCAGCTGGAACGACGTCTCCGCTGATTTCAACTAGTGCCAGCCATGACAATATCAATAGTAGTAATAGTAGTAGCAGCAGGAGTAGTAGTAGTAGTAGTAGTAGTCGTCGTCGTCGTCGTCGTCGTCGTCGTCGTCGTAGTACTAGTAGTCGTCGTAGTAGTAGTAGTAGTAGTAGTAGTAGTAGCAGCAGTAGTAGTAGTAGTACTACTACTACTACTACTACTACTGCTACTACTACTTGCACTAGCAGCAGCAGCAGAAGTACCTGGTAGTAGCCGTAGTGGTATTGGTGGCAGCGTATTTAACGCTGCCATTGCTATTAACAGTAGTCGTTGTCGTAGTAGGAAGCAGGAGCAGCTGCAGGAAGCCGTTGTAATGGTGAAAGTTGCTATGATAAAATACGCGCACTCACATAGTTAAACATCCTGGTTATCATTCCGGTGGTTAGTTATGGAGTAGGAGTCGGAGGTGGAGGAGAGGTTAATTTTCGTAGGTGCTGTCTTCGTCGCCACAGTGGCAAACGTGCTTAGTGGGAGAGCACTTGGAAAAGCACAAATGAGGAGCAGCATGCTGCTAAAGATAACGGTTACATAGATGCGGCCGGCAATGAAGGCGATGGTGGAATATGATGATTGGGATGGCGATGATGATGGTGGGGATGACACGACGGCGACGACGATGAGAATCAGCAAACAATGAAGCAAATGAGTGTCATGATGCTGAGAACAGTGATGACGGCGATGGCGAAGCTGAGGATAGCGCTCAGGATGACCATACAGTAACTTCAGGAACGATCAGGATGTGAAGATGTCGAGTTTGTTCATTTCGCAGATGAAGAAAATACATGTGGCCTTGGTGGCTGTCAATGCAACTATGCTGATGATGACGTTGATGATGGGATGGAAATGGGCAGGGCAACCACGATGAGAAGGCGGAGGGCGATGATGACTGAGTGTAATGACGATGATGGGAAGAAGAATATGCAAGATAGAGGCTAGTGATAGTGAAGATGCTGATGGCAGTGATGATGATGATGATGATGATGATGATGATGATGACTTGCATGCAGGCATGAGGGCCCTGAGATCACGGCAATGTTTCTCGCACGAATGCAAAGCCACTGGAAGCTTCCTGGGAGAGCTTGCGAAATTTCAACCATCTCCATGTTCTGGTACAATCCAGTTTAGGCTGTTCCGCTTGTTCTAAACAAAACATGTACAACCACAACTTTGCTGGCGACCTCGGGCGGTGGATCTTTGGCTGCCACAGGCACCACAGGAATTCCTGCAGGCTCAACCCAAAGGGTCCAAAGTACCAAAATATTAGAATATACGGTTTCTCTGTGAGGAATCCTTATTATGATTTGAGAAAGTACCCCCCCATAACAGTACCTAGGACCCTTTGGGCAAGAACGATGAAGCAAGCAAGCCGGAGCTGCAGTCCTCGCCTAAGTCTGGGGATTAACACAGTGACTTTCCAATGCGCGCAGCGGTGCTTTCCGTACTCCTTGCCTGAAGCTTCCGATTGAGTGCTTAGGCGTACATGGCACTTCTGCTCTCGTCGAGCCCGGGGTTAAGGGTTTAGGGTTTAGGGGTTTAGGGTTTAGGGTTTAGGGTTTAGGGTTTAGGGTGCCTAAGACTTAACCCCAAGCTGCTGAATCCCAAGGAGCAGGTCCTTCAGAGTCCTGCATCGCGGCTTTCGCACCAAGGCAACTAGCTCCAGTCACCCAAACCTAACAGGCACTTGACCCCACCCGGGCTTGAGCCACCGTCGAAGTGAAACGCTGGTTCCGGAACTCCTACGTGCTGAGACTTCATTGAGTCCAACGTACTCATGGCCTTGTCTGCACATGTCAAGCACTGCCACAAGGTCACATGAGCAGATATTTTTCCCTCAAGCTGGAAGCTGCCGCGTCAGTCATGCTTTCCTGCAGCACCCACACGAGGCCAGGCGGAAGCAGAGCTTGCCCGGAGCTCGCAAGTGCCCGGTCCTACGTGCCGCACACATTGCAGCCACATTGCTCATCGCGGCACCTATCATCCGGTTCACCCTTGAGTTGCGTAGGAAAGATCCGTGAAGGACCTGCTAGGTTGAGGGGTTCAGGATTTAGGGGTTTAGGGGTTTAGGGGTTTAGGGGTAGGGTTTAGGGGTTTAGGGTTTAGGGTTTACAATTGTGAGGTTGTATCAGGAAACGGCAAGTGCAGCCTGAGCCGAAGCAGAGGACGGCAGAAGCAGGATGTGCTTTCGGAGGTGCAAGACGCCCTCGCATGGCGTCGACATTTCGAAGCCGCTCAGCCTGTTATCCTAGGCTGTTATCCCTAGGATCCCTAGGACTGGCCCAAAAGCGACGTCGGATCTGCGAGCACTGACCCGAAGCTGCTGTAATAATGTGGGGGGCCTGAATAGTTAGAATAGGGTTTTGGGGGTTCCTTATTTGGGGATTCCGAATTATAGTTATATAGTATAATATACCCCAAAACCCTATTCTAATTATTTCAAGCCCCTGCATCACAAGATCTTCGAGACCAATTCCGGTAAAGCGCAATGCAGCACACGACCATTTCAGGACTCGGAAGGGAGGCGAAGTAATTTTCAGTCAAGCGATGTGAGGACAAGTCCTTCGCAAGAAATAGAGAAGCGGAACGTGCACTGGTGTGTCCTGTCATTACTTGATCGGCCCCAAAGGGTCCAAGTACCATTATAGTAGGTACTTAGTAGGTATTTGGGCCCCAAAACTATATACTATACTAGTACTTGGACCCTTTGGGGGCATTCTCTCGAACATACACTGCCAATCGGGTCCTCAAGTCGCAGGGCACATGCTGATGCGCAGCAGCCGCAGGAGGTCAGGATTACATCACCTGCCCAGGCATGTATGGATACCCGGAATGCGGCAACAGCACCACGCAGGGTACCATGGGAACACGACTTCGCCACAGCCTTTGGTGTAGATCTTGGCATCTGCATAGTTCCTGCCACAGACAAACCGTGTAATCATCATCAAGGAGAGAGTGGTTGACGTGTCCTGCACTTTCACTAACACAACAGGCATCATTAGTTGCAACGCACCACATCTCCCGGCTGCTCGCCCTTGGACATCCGGGCCTATGCCATCGGTGCGATGTTGGACGAGATGGGCGGTGGCATCGAGCCCTCCGCACATGGAATGCTGCTGATAAGGTGTTAAATAACCAGCTCAAAGGTCCTCAGCAGGAAGCATCCAACCAAACGAGGGACACGACAGCAGCAGTGAGATGCATGAACTTCATGAACTCTTACCATCAGAGAGTCAGAGAGGAGGTAACGGGAGAGAGAAATGGAGACAGCGCCACTTGGTGGCAGCTGCCACGACAGTGCGCGTGCAAGGAGCAGCTGCAGGTGTACCGGACTGTGGTTGCCAGCGGAGATGCGGTGCCAGAAGGAATATGCTGCAGATAGCTCGTGCTACTGGTAGTCATAGTAGTAGTAATAGTAGTAGTAGTAGTAGTAGTAGTAGTAGTAGTCGTCGTATGCGTAGTCTCTGTAATAGTGGTTATAGCAGTAGTAGTAGTAGTAGTAGTAGCAGGAGTAGTAGTAGCAGCAGGAGTACTAGTATCAGTAGTAGTAGTAGTAGTAGTAGTAGTAGAAGTAGTAGAAGTAGAAGCAGTTGAAATACTGGGCGTCGAGGCTGTTGTAACTGTTGCTTTTGACGTCGTTGTTGCTGTTGCTGTTGCCGTGGCTTTTGCTGCTGTTGGTGCTGTTGCCGTTGCTGCTGCTGCTGCTGCTGCTGCTGCTGCTGCTGCTGCTGTTGCTGGTGCTGTTGTTGCTGTTGCTGTCGTGGTCATTGATGAGTTGCTGCTGCTGTGTGATGCTGTGGCTCTTATTGCTGTTGTTGATGATGTTGCCGCTGTAATTGCTGCCACGTAGTGAGACATGATATCTGGCAGGACCTCGAGACCACCACTACAACTGCAACAGCGACTTATTAGACTTCTGTCGCGCTGCCAAAGGCTCCAGTACTAAGGCTACGATGACGGCGACCACCACGAGAAACAAAGCTGGTAGGGGCCTGCCCTGGCATTGTGGGCGGCGGTTTCATCGAGCCCTGGCTGGTGACAGGCAACACATCGGAGACCTGTTGATGCAAAAGACTTGTGCCCACCCACGACCAGTTGCAAACGCCCAGCCCAGCCCACGGCCAAAAAGGACAAGTTAAAAAAACAAACAAAACTTTCAGTCAAAACGTTTCGCTCAAAACTTTCGGTCAAAACCCCGGACCCTAAATCCCCAAACCCTATATTAAACGCCCTAAACCCAAAACCCCTAAACACTACATCCCAAACCGGCCTGCATTCCCATGCTGGCGGCCAGTGGACGATAGGACGGCACGTTAAAGCCTCAGGAAGCACAGAGCCTCGTGTTAGCTCTCAAGGCTCCAGGGTGCTATATAAAGGTAGCCTTTCGCTCATCTTTTTCGTATATTCTTTAATATGTATATATATATATATAATAGTACACTCTAGAATCACATATATATATATATATATACAAACACCTACAATACAATATACTATAGAATGTGAAGCAACTCATGGCTCCGAGTAGACTGAACCAAGCTCAATGCAGAGAGGGTCTTGGCTCATGAAATCAGTGCCGGCCGGAACTCTCAGAAGAGCTGTGATTCTAGGGGCTTTAGGAGGGACCCTTAGTAGGGATATAAGGACTATACAATGGTTATTTCAGGTAATGGATTTCTAGGGTCCCTATTAGGGGTCCCTCCTAAAGTCCTTAGAGTGATGCTGCTATGCCAGGCATGCTGCTATCCAAAGCTAGAGGCTGAATTCTTCACAGCGACGTTCCTTTTAGCTTCCAATTCCTCGACCTGCAAAATCAAAATGTAACATTAAATTAAGTTTGCGCTGTAAACTGTAATGAATCTTTTCTCTTGCGCTGAGCACCCAGGGATCTGCCCTGAGGTAGGGACGGCGGATCTCTTCGTGCAGAGCGTCGATGTATGCGGCCTGATGCTCCATGCCGGTCCATGCCCAAACACTTCGAACTTAGACGGAGAGGTTATAAGTAGAGTTATAAGTACCCTAAATGGAGTTACCCCAACTATAGCCCTTCTTATGACCGAGTTACTAAGTCCCCTGGGCCTCTAAGTCCCCTTTAACATCAACGAGATAAGGTTTGGCATGTAGGGGTCGATGAGCTGTTGCCCTCGCTACTCGAAGCGACTTTGGCTGCCCGAAGCTCTGACATCTTATCGCCTAAACCTTTACCCTAAACCCCTAAACCCCTAAACAATAAACCCTAAACCCTAAACCTTAGATCGCACCCTGAAACCTCTCTGACGAAGCCCACGACCCAAAGTCTAAACCTTAAGGCTCCATGTGCCCATCAAGTGTATACCTAGTCCTTAAAGTACCTACAAAGAAGTACCCTGTAGGAGGTTTTTAAGGCCGAAGAAAAACTGTCTATATATATATATATATATTTTTGCTTATTAAAGAAAAAAAAATATATATATATATATATATACATATATATATATATATATATATTCCAGCATGTCTACATGGAGCCTTGGGGAAAAATGAGGACTGAAGATCAGCTCCGAGGTGCCTTGACTTAAACCCTGGCCTGCGCCTATTTTTATGGGGCTAGGGTTTGGGAAAGTTTAGTGACGGCCCGTCCTTGGCTCTGAGACACCCTCAAAACCTCGTTTCCGGCGTCGACGGTGGTCTGTTTACACCGAGAAACTCTCAGGAAAATGAATCGGTATGTCGATCACCACCATTACTTCCGATGTTGAGCCCCTTCTAAAAGTCCCCCCTAAAGCCCACGTGAAAGCCCCCCTTGAACCGCATGGGTCTGCCTGCTGCTTGTGCGATGCGATGAGTGCCTTTAGGTCCGGGCCAGCCTGGGGACGGTTTAGGGTTCAGGGGGGCTGGGGATACTCCGTAAAGCCCCTGTTGGGAATGTGGTTTGCATCAAGATTCACCCTTTGCGGATCGAGGTCATGGGGCTCGGGATGTAGGAAGTCACCCAAAGAAGGGCTTCCCAGGGTGTATGACAGCTAGCTAAACCCTAAACCCTAAACCCTGAACCTATCGCGTCTGTTGGTTGCAGCTGGCCTGAGTTTTCACGTCCTCACCCACAAAGATGGAGCACGTCTGCCGAGTGCCGCGCTGCACCTGTCTACGCACAGGGCTCTGCATCCTCGAAACGAAATCTTGTCTAGTCCTAGTCCCAGCAAGAAGGATACATGCATCGGGTGCAACATGTCATGTTGAACGTTGGCACCCCGGGCCTCGAAAGCAGTGCCAATGACCGACAAGCAGATCTTGGGCCTTGGATGCAGCGACTGAGGATCGCTCGGCGGACGTGAAGAAAGCTCACGCGCCTTTCGGCTATGGGACAAGCCTGGGTTGCACGCTGGTAGACGTCCGCCACCGCATCGGCGTAAGACTGCAAACAGGGGAAAGCGTGTCGCAACCATCGTGCGATACCGTGCGCACGGTAATGTAGGGGTATATCATACTATAACTATAATAAGGAACCCCGAAACCCTATTCTAATTATTAAGGCCCCTATCGTAGGTGTGCTGCTGCAAGAGCAGCAGGGGGAGAAGCAGGATCAGCAGAAGCAGCAGCAGGTGGTGTCGTTGTTGTTGCTGCTGCAGCTGCTGCAATCGAATTCCTCTTGTGACATGGTATTTGTGGCTAAACCAGTACCAGTTCATGTTTGGTGCAGACTTATCGTGAATGACGTCATTAGTAGCAGGAGGAAGAAGAGGAACACCAACCGCAGCAACAGGACTTACGTCAGAACACTTACAACGACGGCTGCAATAAGATCGAATCCCAATCAATCGGCATCCTCAGCACCAACGCCACCAGCACCAGCACCAGCACCATCAACATTAGCACAGTCACCAACATCTCAGTAGCGTTATCACCAACAACATCATCATCGTCAACATCAACATGATAATCATCTAGACCCTAAGCCCTCAATCCTGAACCCTAAACCCTAAACCCTCAACCCTAAGCCCTAAGCCTCATAAAGCACTAAACCTCACTGCTTGGATGCCGCCTGCTCGAAACGGCTAACGAGGCTCTGTAGATCTCCAGCAGGCATCCGGGGGTCCGTAGTCGTGTCCAGGTTGAACCACTGCTGAAAGATACCTAGGTTGCATCAAGACCTAAGCCCTGAACCTTATAAGAAACCCTGCACCCCAATCCCCAAACCTAAACCTTCTTGAAGGAAGCTTCGAGGAGCTTTCGGACGTTCTGCAGTGGTCCGTGATGGTTTACTCTGTCTTTTCTTGGATCTCTGGGACGCTTCAGTTTAAGGGTTTCGGGTGTTGGGTTTGGGAGTTTGATCTTTCTGTTCGAACAGGATTTGAGGTCTCTGAACAAGCGAAACCCGAAACTCATCAACGTATCAAGCTGAGATTCCGGAGGAGTAGCGCTCTGCCAGGCGTTCCACAGGCACCCTGCTGCAGCAGGCAGTCTACTCAAAGCATCAGGGTTTACGGTTTAGGGGTATAGGGTTTAGGGTTGGAGTGATTGGCAAGACTCAGATAAGTAATGATGTCAACGGCATGCAAGGCTTGTGAAGACTCTATGCAACGAACACACAACGTGCTCTTCATGAGAACGACAAGCAAATCACGCACGCATCAGCACTCTTATTGGTTTTGCTATATGTATGGTAGGACTGTGCTGGCCAAATAAATGTCAGTGTCTTCAGACGCCTCATGAGTACTCAAACGACTCTGCAAACAAGCAAGCAAGCAAGCAAGCAAGCAAGCAAGCAAGCAAGCAAGAATGCTAGCAGCTGCTAGCATGGTAGCGACATGCGAAGCTACCGTAGTAGAAATAATCAGAAAAGGCACTGCCCCTCTGTACTCAGCATCTATAAATGCATCTCTCTCTCTCTCGCTCTCCCTCACTCTCTCTCTCTCTCTCTCTCTCCCTCTGTCTGTTTTGCTCCGCTGCGCCGTAATTACCCCCATAATCGCAAAGGAGATATGCGATTTACGATGTTGCAGAATTTGACTTCAGGCTGACCGCTTGCAGACAACCCTCATAACTAAGCATTGTAATTCATGTCTGATGCGCAGATAGCTGCTTTCTGCACGGAGCCAGGGGTTGGGTATCATAGGGGCCATAGGGGGTGGGGTTGGTGCGCTGATGGAAAACAAGATTTGCACGATGAACGATATCGGACAGTCGAGACAGCAAGGCTGTATTGATATTCGCAACAGTGTTATGGCAATGCTTTGGAGCTTTGCCCTTAGCATCAAAATAGCCCAAAAGCCTCACATGATAAGGTCTTTGGGCCCAAAAGCCTTAAAATATGAGTCCTTTGAGGGTAAGGCGGGTTACATTACATACAAACACGCGAGAGCTGATTCCTTGATAATGCCTTGACAAGCTCACATCTGGGCTTTAGGATTTACGGTTTAGGGCCTAGGGTTCTGTTCCACATTTCGCTAAACTTACAATGTAAGTTTAATCAGTTACAGGACCCTAAACCTTAAAACCCTACACCCTGAACCCTAAACCCTAAACCCTACACCCTGAACCCCTAAACCCCTTACTCCCCGAACCCTATACCCAAAACCCTACGATGTATCCCAAGACCTGGAGGTCTAAAAGCCAAGAACATCTCACCGCGGCCTCAACAAGCCGAGGCATCGGGCAGTCTCCGGAGTAAACACCTGCCACTTTAGATTTAGGGTTTAGGGTTATAGGGCTTAGTTTTTTGTTTAGGGTTTAGGGTTTAGGGTGCACTGTACTCTCCAAAAAAGTAACCCTTACCCTCAAAGGACTCATATTTTAAGGCCTTTGGGCCCAAAGACACTTTTGGGGCCATGTTGATGGTAAGGGTTAGGGTTTAGGGCTCAAGGTCTAGGGTATACGGTATATTACTTAGAGGACTTGTAGGGTGTTGATGTTATGCTATGTCTCCATTTTTGCACCGTGCTGGACGATGCTCTTCCTTATCTTGTCGGGTCGGGTAAGTCGGCTGTGCAAAACCATCTTGGTGCGGCTCTGAATGCCACCGGAAACCCTAAATCCTGAACCCTACCTCCTCAGACCTCTCCACCCAAGTAAATTCCTGTGATGACCCTTTCGTCAGTCTGCAGCACATGCATCGCACGTGATCTTCTTCGCAAGATTTTCCTAAAAGCTGGCCCTGAATCCTGAACCGTCAGCCCCTAGTTCGTGCCCGCAACTCAAAGCCTGGACCCGAATCTTTAGTCAGCTATAGTATACAACATAGTAGAATAAAAGGTCATAATATGATGTAATAGAACGCAGTATGATATAATTGATATAATATAGCCCTAAACCCTAAACCCTATATAACATCATACGGTTTAATTTAACAATACGTCTCAAAACCTGGGCAGTGCAGGCGGCGACAAGTCGCCGGGCCGGCAGGCTCCGGGCACTCGTAGACAGTAAAGCTCAGGACGGTGGTGATACCCACCTGTTTAGGGTTTAGGGTTTCGGCGTTGGGCTTCCGCGGGCTACATTAGACAAGACTAGGATATCCTACACTACACTGCACTACAATACATCCATACAATACGATGCGATACGATACGATACTGTACTGTACTAGACTATACTATACTATACAATACTATACTATTACTATACCATACTATACATAACCACACATTCCTATACTGTACTAGATGATATACTATACATACTATTCCGTACTATACGACACGATACGATGCTATACTGTACTGCATTATACTACACCCAAAGCCCTAAACCCAAAAGAGAAAAGCGGGCACTCTTGACTCCTAAACCCTGAACCCTAAACCCTAAACCCTGAACCCTAAACCCTGAACCCTCAACCCTAAACCGTGCTCGTTTTAAAAAAAGGGGACCCCAGTTCAGAGAACGACCCATCCAGGCAAAACAGCGCCCCACGCCTCGACACTCAGCGTCTGAGATCGGCCAATGACCTTCCCCAAAGGGTCCAAGTACTAGTTTAGTTTGGGGTTTAGGGTTTAGGGTTTAGGGTTTAGGGTTTAGGGTTTAGGGTTTAGGGTTTAGGGTTTAGGGTATAGTATATACTTTGGAGGCCCAAATACCTACTAAGTACCTACTTCAATGGCACTTGGACCCTTTGGGTTCGCAGACTTGCAGGCGTAGTATAGGGGCCTCCAAAATTTCGAATAGGGTTTAGGGTTGAGGGGTTTAGGGTTAGGGTTTTGGGCTATAATTATACTGCAACCTTCACAAGGAACCCCGAAATAGTATTGTTAATTGTGCAGGCACCTATTGGATTAGAAGGTCGTAGTTTTTATGACCCATCATTGCAGGAAGCATGGCACGCAATCCTGCGATGCTGAAAACCCCTAACCCCCCAGGTGCCTACTATATAGGGTACCAGAGCCCCTAGGGCCCTATATAGTAGGCACCTGGAGCTACCCGGGGCTTGGCCTACAGGTGAAGCTCCATGATGCCATGTCGGGTGCAGGCAAAACCCAGAACCATAAACCGACAACTTTGTAGTTTTTTGTGTTTTTGTATTTTAGGCTCGGTTTAGGGTTTAGGGTTTAGGCTTTAGGGTTAGGTGTTAGGTCCTGCCTTGGTTGCTGCTCCACCACTGCTCACGTTGCAGAAGTAGAACATGTCCTGGCAGCTCGACTCATGCCCCGACTGATGGGTTCAGGGTTTTGGGGGGACGTGGTGGAACATCCGATCCGTCAAAATACGTTCGTCAAGATTCTTGGGCATAAGGAGGCCGAAAGAGCTGCGTCACTTCAGTTTGGCCCGTTTGCTTGTGAACGGGACCTCACAGCTCTCCCGGATGCAAGCGGCGATCTGCGTGAAATCCCGCTGCAAAGCAAGCTGAAGTGGCGATTCCCCCGCGTGGTTAGCTAGCTCCACATCGGCGCGGGCTGTGAGCAAAGCCTGCGCGATCTCCAGGCTACCAATCGAACAGGCTGCCAGCAAAGGGGATGTCCCGGCGATGTCTTGCTTGCTATGATCAGCGGCAGATGCCAGCAGCAGCCGAACCACGTCGCTATGACCGTTCAGCGATGCCGCCAATAGCGGTGACCTGCCACCTCTGTCGACGTGATCCAAATCCGAGCGCTCGAAGATCAACAAGGATACCAACTCCATGTGCCCAATCTCCGAGGCAGCCAGTAAGGGTGAGATGCCCCGAGCATCCGACTCCTTCGATGCTCCGCTGGCTAGCAGAACCTCCACGACACGTAGGCGACCTCTCTCGCAGGCGGCTATGAGAGGTGAGATACCACTGCTTTCTGAGGTTTTCGTGCCGACGCCAGCACGAAGCAAGAGCTCTACAACCTCCCAGTGGCCATTCTCGCAAGAAGCCAGTAAAGGTGATGCCTCTCCATGAGTGCAGTCAAGGGCAGCCCTTGCCTCGATCAGCATCTGCACAACATTGCCGTGGCCGTTCTGACATGCTAGCAGCAATGGCGACTTGCCCCACTCGCCCCCCTTCTGCCTGGCACCCCTCTCTAGCAGCAGACGCGCGACCTCGACGTCTCCCTTCTCGCATGCTACCGCAAGGGCCGATCTCGCGGACATGCCCTTTCCATCCGTCTTGTCGAGGTCGGCGCTTGCGTCCAACAAAAGCCTGAGTAGCTCAGATCGGCTTCGACGGCCGTTGCCCTCTTCTCGCGAAGGGCCTCCGAAGCCTCGCGCTAGTAGGTTCCATCCCGCAGAACATCCGGCCCCCGCCAGTGGCGGAGTGCCTCGCCTTTCGGCGACCGTGGCGTCTGCGGCGAGCAAGAGTGCGAAGTCTCCGCTCCTGTTTGAGATGTCCGGCTCAGCTCGGGCTGTAATCAAAAGTCGGGCGATGCCGATCTGATTGTTCTTGCATGCCACCAGTAGCGGAGAGGTGCCATCCCTATCAACGATGTTTGTGGTAGCTCCTGCTCTCAGCAGAAGAGATACCAACTCCATCGAGCCGTGGCGGCAGGCAGCTAGAAGCGGGCTGACTCCCAGGGTATCTGCAGAATCAGTGCTTGCTCCAGCCTCTACCAGCATGCGGGCAACTTCCACATAGCATCCACTGCACGCAGCCAGCAACGGAGATGTGTTGAACTTGCTCGAGAGCTCCATGTTTGACCGGGCCTGGAGATAGTATACTATGTTATACTAGACTAGACTAGACTAGACTGTACTTTGCTATGACATACTAAACTGTAACATAATATGTTCGACCAAGCCTGGAGCAAAATCTGCACAAGCTCCCTTGGGCCGCCTCGCAGGCAGCTGAGGAACAGAGGCGTCCGTCGCCCCTCCCCGGCTGCATCTTTGTCGGCCCCTGCTTCCAGGAGACAGCGAGCCACATCCTGGGATGCTGTTTAGGAACTTAAACCAAGCTAAATAAGGAAGCCCTATTATTATTATTATTATTATGATTATTATTATGATTATTATTATTATATCATGGTAACTTAAATTGAAGTTCTTTACAGTACAGTAACAGCAACCAAGCATCGACGTGTCCTTCGCTGCAAGCGCAGTTCAAGGGCGCATTGCCACGCCAGTCTGCTTTGTCTACCTTGGCCTTGGCCTCAAGCAGCAGCCGGACTGCCTCCAAGTGGCCGCGTGTAGACGCCGCCAGGAGAGCCGTCTCCTGATGCCATGGTATTTATATCTGTGCATATGGGAGTTTCCGAAAATTAGGGTACCTTATTTTGGGGTCCTTATAATAGGGATCCTATTATTTAGGGTACTATATTAGGGTCCCCTATTTTCGGCAACCCCCATATGGATATACATATGGGTATTCATACACGGTACACTGCAGCTTGTTGCACATATGCTGCAAACTGTCGGACTACTACATACTACACACTAACAAAACGAACAAGAATACACTACAAACTAGCTACTGTATACGACATACCAAATAGCAAAACTACAAGCTGTATATATATATATACTATATACTATATATTAGACACTATGTACTATATACTACATACGGAATACTATATACTATATACGGTATACTGTATACTGTACACTATGCTAAATATCCTGTATATACTTGATAAGTACTAGTCAGTTTCCACTGTATGCATGCTACCTATACATATATATATATATATGCACATATACAGGTAGAGACATACATAGATAATACATACATAAAACCAACAGGCAGGTAATTGGATAGATGTCCGTATGTCTATATATATATATATATGCACGCATTATACACCACCACCACCACCACCACCACCACCACCACCGAAAACACATACTAAATCTTTACGATACAGGCTCCTGCGGCCAGTTGGCAACTTGATCCGGATCCAGTGGCGTCCGCAGCAAACTCTCAAGGCGATCTTGAGAATCAGTGGCCTCCCGGAGCTCGTTGGCCTGATCGCCTTCAAGGAAGATCAGCATCAAGGAGCATGCATACACATAAACACATAGACAAATAGGTAGAGAGGAATAGATGGGTAAATAAACGAATGGATAGTTTGAGAACATGACGTTTATACTATTGTGCTATACCGTACTATGATACATTATATTGAGCCATGATTTTGTTAGGCTTCTTTGTGCTGTACTTTACTATACTCTACTATACATTTTCTAGGCCATACTCCTCTAAACTATACTATGCTATACTATACTATACTATACTATGCTATGCTATGATGTACAGTACCTAGCTTGTGAGACTACACCTGAGTTTGCCATGTGTGTGTGTGTTCCTTTGCATGTTTACATGCAAGTCTACACATACTCTCATGACTCACATGTGTAGTTGTACGTTGGTTCATGTTGAACTAGATAACATCTTGTATCCGTGTGCGTGTGTGTGTGTGTGTGTGTCTATGAGCTTCTTGTGTTCACATGCGTATTTAGAACTGCATATATGTTTGTATACATGTATTGTATGTGCCTGACTATTTTTCTAAGTGTGTGGGGGTGTATACTGCGGTTGACTTTGGCAGGTTATGATATGTTGCTTCGTCTTAAGTTTTCTTGTGCTCTAATATGTTCTGTTCTACTACACTATGCTATCTTGTTACATCACGTGACACCATGCTGTGTTTTTCGTAGGTGTGCATGTACGTATGTACATATGCATGTACATATGCATGTATGTATGTATGTATGTATGTATGTATGTATGTATGTATACATGCGTGTGTGTGT